ATTGGCCCCTCCCTCCTCCCCTCCCATCCGAAAAGAGACAGTATTATTTTTCTTTTTTTTTTTGATTCTTTACAGTTGCTCTGTGTGAGTTGTCATCTGCTTGAAATACGTCAGTGACAGGCCTTTAATCACCTTCTTGACAAATGTGCTTAAAGCGGACCAAAGCGGATCAATTATTTTATTTTGAAATAATTTTTTTTTATTTCGTTTATTCACAAAAGCTGAAATTACTTTTCTTCAGCATTTAATAGTCAGACTGAGTTGTCAGTTTGGCAGTGGTTTGGTGGGCTTACAACTTAAAGGTTAACTCTTCCGGAAAAGGTAGCGCCTTCCGGTTCCGGGTTGGCTTCTAAGAATGATTAGAGGTAGAAAAATGGAAAGCATACAAACTACTGTCCTTTGCCATTCCAACGTTAAATGACCGTCCTTCGTCTTCACTGTCTGTTCCAAATTTCTCACGCTGAGAAGGGAAAGAAATGGCAAAGTCCTGTGAAATCATGCTGATGACAGGTGATATGCCCTCCTCATGACACCTGTCAGTGCTCGCGTCCTTTGGAGGTGCCAAGAGGCGAACTTCACGCCAGTAGCACTCCGATGGAGTCTTAAGTACCCTTGAACCAAACCACAAAGTCCAACTGACCTGCCATGCATTACAGATTGACATTTTTGTGACGCTTCTTTTGAAAAATCAATTTTTATTTTATTCGTAGAGTGGAAGTCAACACTGTTGAATGATCAAATTGGCAGTTGATTGCGTCTGCCACTCCTCTTCCACTAACCAAATCAACACTTCTTTCACTTCCTCCGTTTGTGACTGTCTAGCAAAAGGCGTTGTCATAATATTGCTAGGAGGAAGAATAAAATTAAAATGGTAGTTTGGAGGTGTTTCCGCAGGATGAGTGAAATTTGCAGTTGACATTTGGCATCATCTCCAGTTGGAAGTACCACTTTACAGTTGTCCCACGGGAATGAGGAGTGGACAGTGCGTAGGGTAAGCTGTTTAACCCTCATCAAGTGAATAAGCCCATCACAAGA